CTGAGGACAGTAAGCCTGGAATTTTCCGGGTTGAGTACAGAAGAAGAGCAGCTTCCAAAGGAAAATAGGAATGGAGGTCTAACCAAGACAACACTACTGAAATGACCCCACCCACCCACAACTCCAGAGAGGAAGAAGATGAGCATGTACAGCAGGGGGAGACACCCACAAAGAACAAACAGTTCATTTACCTTCTCATTCTTATCTCCCTAATTATAAATTAACTTGATCCTCCAGACACAGTGTTTTATATGAAGGAAGAAGCCACCTCTTTTACAGAGGACCTGAAATCATCAATCATCACACATTTTGTTTCTTTCTTTTAAAGTATAATTAGGTGCTTTCATCTTCCTTTTTTCTCCAAATGAAATGTTAATGGGAACCTTCTTTTACCCACTTCAACTATATAAGTCCAGATGTTTCAAAGAGTGACTTACATCTCCTTCCTTGCCCTCAAATGAAAATATACTCATATTGCTGAATCCCATTGTAATTCTGAGATCCCTGGAATTAAATGGAGCAAGGAGAAGTTCTTACTGTTACATTCAAAATCACCAAAATTGGTTCTTTTACCACTTGTGGTCCCCCTGCTTTGAGAAACCCCATGAATCCAGCCTCCCTTTTCTGCTGACCATTACATTGAGTTTCCTTCTTTTCCTCATTTACCTTTTACTTTGCCCTCTTTTTGTTAGATAACATTTTTGTGCACTTTTAATATCCTAAGCTCCTTACTACCTCAGGGACATGATTAAAACCTGCCGGAAGAGGGAAGGAGAAAAAGCTATGCTAAGCTACATCTATGAATGTTAGCATCTAATGTTGGTCATGAGCTTTTGCTCTTCTAGACGGCCATAGTTCTCTGTGCAGCTCCTGAGGAAGTGATGGGAGTAGCCAGATTCACAGTGAACAAGAGATTTGGGAGACCAAGTGGCCATAAAACTGCCTCTTGTCATCAATTTGGAAATCTGACTGATAGATTTATTATGTTTGTTAAAAGTTATTCCAAAAAGCCAAGGGTTAATTCATTTAGGTTCTCTCTGTTTTCCAGCAAATGGAACTCTGATTGAAACAGCTGGAGAGGAAAATCCTCATGAAGATTATTCCTGAAAGTGTGGATGTACTGGATGCGCAGGGAACATCAGGAAAAGGGCACAGGTCTCTTAACAGCCTGGGTCCAGACAGCAGCCTATACATCCATCCCAGGACACAGCTCAGCCCCTCCCCCACACCATATAAGGTATCAGAAAAGTCTAGGACCTATCATTTCATCAGAGTCGTGATCAGAAACAAAACTGCTTCTGCCCCATTTCTTGTTTTGGAGACTACTCCATCTGTCCATCAAAAGAAACCTGTAAATATGAACAAAGGTATTTCCTGGAGAAGAGACAATTTGTTCAACAGCAACATGGGACTCACTCATGGGCACAACTCTGGTGTCCTTCTATGGAGAAAACCTCAAAGTTTTATTCTGCCTTTGAAAATGCTTCCAAAAGTAGCACTTCCAAAAAGCTTTGTAGAAATGTGTCACTTAATGTATACCTGCTACTTACACATTTCCTTTTGGAAAAATGAGATACTTAGGATAACAACAAAATTAAGACATACTGGCCTGGTGCCAGCAGATGGCTTTTTTATAGACAAACTGGGTTAGTGTGGAAAATATAGGTTAAACTATGCTGTTTTATTTATCATCCCAACGTGATTGGCAGCTAGACTTTTTTAGGGTATCATTTGATGGCCCTATTTTTTTCATTATTATATTTAATGATAGGGCAAGATTTCGTATGCAAGCTCTTCTGTTTCTCAGGCTGCCTGCAGAAGAAGTCGCTATAAATTATCTGCTGTCTACATGGTACAAGGCCCATTGACTCATCTGCTGCTTGTTTTGTTAATTTCTTTAATACTTTTATCACAGGGACAGTGGGGGCTTGGGCCTTTAACCACAGCTCTTTCAAGACTTGCTAATCTCCTGCCCTCCAGTAATAGGTGGGAGGTCACTGAATTTTTATAGTAATTTGCATTCCCACATAAGTTTGAGTGTTATGAAAACATTCCTTTAAAAGCGATCTGTGCTACAAAAAATATGCCAGGACCTCATAGACAAAGCCATTGCTAGAAATGATCATTCCAATGTCAAATCTGGAAACAGGCTGCCATAACCACTTTTGCTTCCTGTAGACTCAGCTCACCTGTATAATAAACTGTTCTTGGCATCTTGAAACACCTATTTCTACTCAGGTACTCATTTTCCTGTTACTGATTCACTTTTCTGATCCTTTTAAACCAGTTTTCCCCTTAGGGGGAAATTTTACTTAATCTCTAGTATCTGAAAAAAACTGTCAATATTTTAATTGTTTCCCCATTTGCTTTTTCCTGTACTGTATTCTTGGTCATCTCAAATGGCATCTAAACCCAGCTACTTTGCATTCCAGAAGTTTCCATTCCCTCCAGTTCCACCTAATTTTTCATCTACTGTCCTAATTACTGGCTGTTTCTTCTTTATGTCTTATTTCTCTTGCTTTGGGAACTTGAAAGATTTTACAAGAGCTTATTTTGGGTTCCTGCCTTGGAGCCATAGTTATCCTGCCAAGAAGAGTAGAAAATGGGTTCAATTCCTGTTTTACTCCAACACCTCCGTGAGTCTCATCATCACCTGAGCGATGATGCCTTACAGGTTGTACAGCACTGGAACTTTCCTAGAGTAATGGCTCTACTGTCAGGGTTTCTCTGGGCTCATTCTTCCACTGACTTAATTATGATCTATGCCTAACAGAGCCCCAGTACAACTATTTTGCAGAATGGCTATTACCCTAAAATTACTATAGCACATAATGAGACATAGTTGTACTCCCTAGTAGATAGGAACTGACCCCAACAATAAACTTTGATAATAAAGACAATAGGCTATGGTGGTTTTCTTTACCTATTAGCATTGTGAACAGTTACATTCAGGCTATTGGCTGCACCTTATTCTCCATCCAGTTTGGTACCAACATATTAATATTACACCTTTGAATTGAAAAGCGTTGATGAGATGCAGTGTAATATGGGTATCTGTGAAGACCCAGGGAAGAAAGTGTGTGCAGTGGGGGAAGTTTGGCATAAATACCTTTTTTCCTCAGCCATGTTTTGTATGCTCTCAGCGATGGTACGTTACCAAAGTCACATGAAAGAAATTCCATAAAGGGATCTGAATTTTAAATGAAAGTATGAACCCATAAGTCTTAATTGTACGCTTTTAGTAACATTAGTCCTAACAATTTACAGTGCCCATAAAGTAGTTGATTCTCCAGAAATAATCTGGCCCTGTTGTCCTTTTTAACCCATTAGAATTAAATGCTGAGCCACTCCAAATCTGACCCCTCAGCTAAGCCTCCTCACTCTTACTCTTCCTCCCACAGGCATTTTGGAATGAGTCAAAGGCATAGTAGGACACAGGCATTTACCTGTGGGCATCACTTCAGGCATTGGCAAGGAAAAGTGTTTGAGTAACTTTGTGCTTGGCTGATCAGAGGAGTGGGTGATAAAGGTAGTAAGAACGCGCTACATAACAAACCTGCACACTTGTACTCCTGAACCTAAAAGCTTTTTTCTTTATAAATTCAGAACAACAAAAGAACATGCTAAGTGAGTCCTCCCACCTGCCTGGAGTACGGCCAGCCTTATCACACCTGGTTTTGCCCAGTGATACACCTACAGCCAAAAGATAATTACTTAAATTCCTGGAGGAAAAAATAACTTTTATTCTAAGTCTGAAATTATATGGTTTCTAACAGCTTTTTCCCTCATTAAAAATAATTATTTTTCTACATGAGGCTTGATAATAAGCATTCGTTTCTTAACCTAATTAGAGAAGAGATGATTGCACTCAGAGTCCCCACAGCTGGCAATGCTGTTACAGATGAAACCAGCCTTTGGGGACAAAGTTCAGACGTTTTAGGGGCTCTTGTGAAAATGCAAAGTATTACTGTTTGTACCTTCCTGCCCTGCACTTTACTCCATCTCCCCTCTTTAGAAAATGATTTCCTAGGAAAACTGGCATGGAGAGCAGAAAACCAGAGTGTAGACTGAAATACACGAGGCAAAGGGAGACCCTCCAGCATTCTGTGGTCCCACCAGGTGGGTAGATGACTAGGAATTCAGACCAGGTCCTAGAGAGTAGTGAGTTTTCCTGTTTGCAGTTTCCTCTGTGCTGTACATACAGCCATACAGCCTATGGAAGCTGACACTGCAATGGGCAGCAGCACATAGTCAAAGCTCCTGGCTGGCCCTCCATCTATGGGACTATGACATTTCACACATACTGCCTAGGCAGCATTAAGGCCCAGATATATGAGTAGTCCAAACCAAAATTAATATATTCAAGTATTAGTTCAAATTCTTCCAAACCCTAAAAATCCTTCAGTATCTCACCTAAAACTAAAGGCTTGTGCCAAGAACTGAAACTAAGCTGTTGGTTCTCTTTTTAAGTCTTAACCTATACATAAGTAAAGAAATTACATACCTGGCCAGGTGCAGTAGTTCAAGCCTGTAATCCTAATACTTTGGGAGGCCAAGGTGGGCAGGCTGCTTGAATTCAGGAATTCGGAACCAGCCAGGGCAACATAGTAAAACTCTTGTCTTTACCAAAAAAAAAAAAAAAAAAACAAAAAAAAAAAAAAAACCAAAAAAAAAAAAAAAAAAAAATTAGCCGTGCATGGCGGTGCAAGTCTGTAGTCCCAGCTACTAAGGAGGCTGAGATGGGAGAATCACCTGAGCCCAGAGGTCGAGGCTGCACTGAGCCGTTACCATACCACTGCACTCCAGTCAGGGAGACAAAGGGAGACTCTATCTCAAAAAGAAAAAAAAAAAATGGCATACCTTAATTGGAATCTGCTTTTTAATCTTTCTCATCTGGTACATTATTTTGAGAAGTCTCTGCCAAGCCCTCATAAAAAGCAAGCAATTTTCATATTTCTGTAGAAGGCAATATTCCTTACAATGTTTAATAAACAACAAAGTTTTCTCCCAAAAAGTTTATTTGTCACATTTAAAGTACAAAATCAAATACACAGATCCAGATACGTGAACCATATATACATATCTATATAGCTATTATTTAGACCTACACAAACCTATCTATATATTCTTAATTTGTCAATGCTATCCCTTAAGTAAAAAGCAACATATCTTTTAAAAAACCTAGGTTTGTTATCAGTAACACTGTCGAATGTAAATTATTTTCACTTTATCACTTGAAAGGGTAGAATTAGATACCTCCTAGAAATAGGGCAATTACCAAACAAATTTGTATAGATTTCTTAAAATACATTCTATAGGAATAATTAACCCAAGAAACTGCCAATCAAAGTCTTTGGACATACTAACTGTAACAAAATTTGAGTCATGGGAAGACATAGAGTTAATTACTTACATTCCAAGAGTTTTGATTTTGGTTTTAAATGCAGAGACTTTATAAGGTTTAGTACACACAGCACTTCCATGTCGTATTTCCTGTGGAGTTACAGTGATACATTTTTCAGGGGCTACCTAAAGCTATTAAAATTAAACTGGTCACTAAAGGAGGTATCTGATTTTTAACACTGTGGAGGTTATTTCAGCCAAAATGCAAGAGCACATTCTTTAGGAGAAAGGCAGAAAAATTTTAGACTTCTAGATACAGAATGTATGATGTCACTGAACACACAGATGTCCTGCTGATCAGAGGGACTATGTTATAACAGCTTCTTTGTTCTAGAATGTCATCTATCTTACATGCAGACCACAGGACACTAAGCCTCAGGTACCTAAGCATCTCCATTCCAGGCATAGGATTTCATTAGTGCCTGCTCCCACAGCTGGGAACACATAAATATAGAGATATGGGTCATTACCAAAGATTTATATTAATGGCTTCACAACAGCAACACAAATGTACTCAATGTCACATTTCCATAGGAAAGGTTATATATACACTATACACTTCAGCCTTGAAATGTGGACCCAAAAAACATAAATTTTCAGTAATCAGTGAATTTGGTGAGGGTCCTACACCCTCAAATCCTAATTTAGCACAGCAAAAGCCCCTCCTTTGCTGCCAAGCGCTGGCGGTGAACTTTGTCTTGCTGCAGCTCTTCATGATTTGGATGCCAGAGTTTCGTGATGATCCTTTCAATGTTAAGGGCATAGACAGTATGAGTAGGGATGACTTCCCTGTGTACCTGGGATTAAAAAATTAACGCTCCAATTATTCAGTAGACTTACTTTTCCAACATATAAAAGGCTTTACATCAACAAAACAGATACACAACTTAAAAACTTTCAGTCAGACACTAAAATGAATCACCAATTGGATAACAATAAGATAATGAAAAATGTTTTGAAATAGGAATAGGAAAACGGGATTTTTTCTTTTTTTTTTTTTCTTTAGTGGGGAGAAGGAAGATGGACTCAGGATTTGAAAAATGAGGCTAGTATTAATAATGGCTTTCATAACAGACAAAACTGAAAAACACAAAGCCAAGAAGTAGAAAAAAGTTAGTACCTTTGTAGACTTGAAGAATCTCTTAACCTATCCATAAATCTAGGTAAACTTTAAGGAGCCAAGACTTACCTGCAAAGCTTCAAAAAGGTCATACATGTTCACCGGAGGCAAAGATGCAGGTAGAGTGTCTCCGGAGCATGCCAGCAGGAGTGCAGCCTGCTGCTCAGCATCATCTGGGGGTGGGTGAGAAGCTGGATTCTGACCAGCACAGGGAGCAGTAAAAGCTGGAGGGCTGAAAATAAAAATTTCAGAAATATTCCCAGCATGGAGACAACTGAACAACAAGGACAGGACTGGCCTGCTAGAATCTTATTAAAAATATCTTTAATTGAATTAGAAATCCATTCAATGTCTACTCCTGCAGACATGAATAGTCTGTAATTTTAATTTTTAAAGGCTGGAAATAAAACATAATGCAACTATATTTACCCTCCTTCTTCCACAATGTTAAAATATTTACTTAGCTCAGGGTACTGAACAAAAATTGTTTCCCTTAAAGGGCTTCCAGTTGAAACAACTAATAGACCTTAACTACAAGAATATAACATTGAAAACAAATAAAGAGGGAGGTGAATGGTACTGGAGAAAACTGGTTCTAAAATAAATGAGAAGAAAAGACAGCACAGAAGCAATAGGCAAAAATCGAGAATGGGGAAAATTAATCCAGAAACTGCCAATTTCCTAAAATACAGCCAGATACAAATTGAGAAGTCAGACATGGTTTTTACCTCATAACGCAGTAGGAGATAAACTACACAATGCTGGAGACATAGCATGAGGTAAAACAAAAGAGTAAAGCAGTAACTCAGAGGAAAGCACAGTGGAACATTCGCGTGGGACTGAAACATCAGACAAAAGCAGCCTGTTAGAGTAACAAGTGCCCAATAGACAGGCAAAGGCACTCAGAGACTGGCCAGCAGGGCAGAGAGGGCTTGGGAGTCCCGCCAGGGCCAGACGCTGCTCCCAACATCACCCACTATAAGGAGCCACTTTTAGGGGTTTGTTGTTTTTCTAGAGAAGAATGATCCCAAACAGATATGCCTGAATGCGACTTAGGCAATAAATCACCACATACGGCAATCTAAACAGTGAGCCCAATTTTAAGATGGGTTAAAATAGGCCCATGCCCCATGTAAAGATCTTCAGAGTCATGCAATGGGCAGCGGTACAGACTCCCACATGTGCTATCAACACTCTGCTCTATCCAACTCTCAGCTTTTCCACCTACACCTCCTGCCTTCCCTTCCTGTTACTTGTCCACCAATCACCCTGCCAGCCTTCCCAGTCATAATTTTTTCTCTGAATGTGCAAGTCTCAGTTATCTCTTTACCTCTCTTCTTCCTAACTAACCAGATATGCAAAGTCCAGCGTTCACAGGAAATTCAAGTCACTTCAGTAACCATAAGGAAAATTATATTACTGTTTTTTTGCTTTTCCAAAGGCTTAAAATTCAGACTAAATTCCCACTGGGGGAAGTGGAGGACACAGGGAGACGGAAGGGTAAGAAAGACAACATAGGGATGAAGGTAATCTAGGTTGTCTCATAAAGGAGTGACTCAGGACATAGAGACGTCCTGAAGTCCTCAATGGGAAAAGGACACAGGAATCCCAGAGATGAGCTGAGAGACCACGTCTGCACAGCAGGAGGCCAAAAAAGCAATATGATGGCACGAGGCACATGCCATGATCTTGAGCTACAAGAGCAAAATGAGGGCCTGGAGAAATATCTACCACTCCTCCTCCCACCACCAAGAAACCCAGCTGTGACCCAACAATCACAGGCCCTGCTTCTAATTGAAAGTAGGCTCACTTCCCCACCAAGCAGGTGATGCCCCTCAGGAGCCCTCAGGATGCACTGCCTATGCACTACTACATTCCACCTAAGAGTCGAGGTGGGGGACAAGCACACTAAACCCACATGCAGCCAAACTCTGGAACTTCACTTCTGATTAAAAAGAATACCAAAATAATTCACTTCATCTCAGGCAAGTATAGGACTTAATAAAATTGTCTCCTATTAAAGGTACTTTAAACACATGGAAACATAATCAATTATTTAACGGTGGTCTATTTCGTAAGAGGAGTATAACCAACTAGCAAGGCTGAAGTGGGCGGATCACCTGAGGTCGGGAGTTTGAGACCCGCCCGACCAACATGGAGAAACCCCGTCTCTACTAAAAATACAAAAATGAGCTGGGCATGGTGGCACATGCCTGTTATCCCAGCTACTCAGGAGGCTGAGGTAGGAGAATCACTTGAACCCGGGAGATAGAGGTTGCGGTGAGCTGAGACTGCACCAAGCTGAGATTGCACCATAGCACTCCTGTCTGGGCAACAAGAGTGAAACTCCGTCTCAAAAAAAAATTTACAAGAAACTTCATTTACCTTTCTATTAAGTTGTTGTAAGCTACTACACTATTCTTCAGGTATGGCTGTGGGGTCACATTACTGCCAAAGGCATATTTAAAATGGCCATCTCGTAACCGATAAGCTTTCCTTCTTGACACAACTGACGTCAGTATATCTTTAAGGTGATTCTGTGAAAATAAGAAAAGAAAAATAGCATGATCTCCTCCTCTCTAAAAGCAAATCATAAAATTCCATTGACCAAAAACATTTATTGGCATTTAGATGGAGATGTGTATACAACCAAATGAATGTTCACATGAAGAGCCACAGAGCCATACCAAAGGAGTAGGAGGATACGGGAAAGAAGGGGACATGCTCATTTTCATTTAATAATTCTCTTCAAGAGGGGCTTGCTCCACATGAAGTTTATTTGAAAAGTTTTTTTGTTTTTTTGTTTTTTTTTTGAGACAGAGTTTCGCTCTTGTTACCCAGGCTGGAGTGCAATGGCGCGATCTCGGCTCACCACAACCTCCGCCTCTTGGGTTCAGGCAATTCTCCTGCCTCAGCCTTCTGAGTAGCTGGGATTACAGGCACGCACCACCATGCCCAGCTAATTTTTTGTATTTTTAGTAGAGACGGGGTTTCACCATGTTGACCAGGATGGTCTCGATCTCTTGACCTCGTGATCCACCCGCCTCGGCCTCCCAAAGTGCTGGGATTACAGGCTCAAGCCACCGTGCCCGGCCTATTTGAAAAGTTTTTACATCCCTAAATTAGACCCTCTCTCTCAAAAATGATTTTTAGATGACTTTAAATAAAAGTACACAAAAATGACTTTGGGCTCTCTCAAAAGCCACATAAACTATAGATATATAGGAAATAAGCACAAAATAAATTAGGTACTTGATTTTTCTTCACTTTTATGACAGCCAAGTACATAGGAAAAGATTAAGGAAGTTTGTGAAAAGAGAGTGACGGAACTCATCCCAGGCTACCATTATTAGTAGAAGAGCCAGGATCAGGCAGGGTATTTCAATTAAACCAAGGAAAATCCACTTATATCAAGACATTACTGTACTATTTAGAATTGATTTGCACACAGAATTCACTTAACGTTTATAACTTCATGAGACAACTGTTACTATTTTTGAGGTACAGATGAAGAAAGCAGGGCTGAGAGAATTGAAAAGAATTATCCAATGTTATCTGGCTGCACCCATTCACTATAGACCTCAATGTCAAATTAGTTTTGTCAAATAACTAAATGAATAAAATGAATGGATGAATTAAATCATGGGCAGTGGCAAGAACTCTGCTGTTCAGATGCCAAGACTAATGCTCTTCAGTGCAGTACCACAGCAAAAATAAGTGACTTTAATCTTCAGGATTCTCAATTTCATTTCTTTCCTTAAAAACCATTGCCCTGTTGACAAAACATCAGATCAAGCAAAAGAGTTATGCCATAAATAACCTTTCTGAAAAGCTTAGTCTATTAACTAAAGACAATTATTTGGATTGTAATGAGTATCTCCTCCTAAAAGAAAACAACTTTCAGCCAGGTGCTGTGGCTCACACATGTAAATCCCAGCACTTTGGGAGGCCAAGGTGGGAAGATCGCTTGAGCCCACGAATTCAAGACCAGCCTAGGCAACAGAGAGAGACCCCTATTGTTACAAAAAAATTCTAAAAAAATTAGCCAGGTATGGTGGCACATGTCTACAGTCCTGGCTCTTGAGAGGCTAAGGCAGGAGGATAGCTTGAGCCCAGGATTTCCAGGTTGCAGTGAGCCATGATCACGCCACTGCACTCCAGCCTAGGATATGAAGTGACACTGTCTCAAAAAAAAAGGGCAAACAACTTCAACAATGACAATTCTGTGAAATCAGAGTGACATTTGGGTTCTTTTCTTGCAACACTGACTTTAAACAACACACAAGCCTATCACATTCAACCTGTAAAATTATTTCTCCCAACAGCAAACCAACCTCCACAGCATAGACAACTGCTGAAACAGCCTCCTCGGTGACGTTGTCCAGCCCGTGCTCATAAGCAGTCACTATCATTCTCCCTTCAAGCTGGCCTCGAGTGGGAAGCATCATTGTGTGGGAACAAAGTTTCAAGTCATCATCATCTTGGGGATCCTTTGCCACAAATTGCTGGGCTCCTGAGAGAGGATTTTGAGGCTGGAATCTATGCTATGAGTAAAAAAAAAATTTTTTTAATTATTTATTACAGTGGCAAACAAGACACAAAGTAACTCCCGTATTGAAGTTGAGCTCCTACAAATTAATGCCACCAAAACTATATACCACAGGGGTTAAGGAAATAAAAAAGTAATTCATGCACAAATAATCACAAATTCACATCCAATACAAGGTAATAATGAAGACATGAATTAAGGGGAATAATGGTAGTTTGCATAGTAGTTTATTCTATTCAATTAATACCCTGGTGGTCACAGAATGTATGGCACTGTGCTAAAAATAACTGAGGGAGAAGTATGGAACTATATTCAAACAAGTCAGAGCATTTTAAATTTAACTGTGGTAGGTTCTAAAAGTATAAACATATAATGAATGATTCAATTAAGCCTTAAAAAGCCTAACCAATATGGCAGGCTAACCAATATGGCATATCAAATAACAAATATTCCAAGACAATGCTGTGTAGTGTAACTATTTAATTGCTGTTATTTTCTACTTAGAAGTCTCAACACAGAACCTAAGATACAGTCGTTTTCATTCATAAAAATCTCAGCCTTCCCCTGGGAGATTCTGATAGCCCATTCATATTCTCCATCATCACTGGTAGCTTTTGCTTAAGGCCAACATAAAAGATTTTATAGTGAAGATGATTTGTCCCTGTTTGAAACTATTATGAAAACAACACGGTTATTTTCCCATTTTCCAAGTATAGAACTATTTTATATTGAACATGTCTTTTTAAACCAGACATGTCTCTCTAGAGATCCTGATGCCCTCCAGATTGGATAGTCTTACTGATACAAAGCATAGAGTCAGTTGAAAATAAATGTTTATTGATGTTAATCAATAAAGCTATCAATACCCCATAAACCTATAAAATGGTTACTTTCGGGAAGCTTTTTTCCCCCAAATATATGTTTGAAAAAGCAATTTGTTTTAAATGCTTACAAATTTTAAAGCCAAATGCCTTCATGGCATCTCTACTAGTCCCCAAAAGGCTCAGGGCCAAGCTGAGCATCACCAAGATCCCACCAAAGGCCTCCAAGCTGCCTAAACCTTTGGTACAGATGTCTTCAACCAAGAAATATTATTTGTTCAAGAAAAATACTTAAGAGGAGAGAGAACAAAGGCATTGTTTTGAATAACTGAAAAGTCATTAGGTACTAATAATAACATTAATATTTAAGCAAGAACTATAAAAATTCAGACACCTAGAACTCACAGTCCTTGAAACCCTTTTCTTCTCTAATCATACTCCCTTTTTTTTAACTCCACTACCAGTATTTTGATATTCGTTTAAAAACTAAAGCTAGTCCTATCACACCAGAACTTCAATCAGTCATTATAAAGATCTACTGAAGAACAACCTACATCAAATTTCTGACGAACAGAAGAAAGCTTTTTCTTTCCCTTGGGTTTTCCAGGTTTTGCTGCGGAACCCCCTGTCCAGGGCAAAGATCCAGCACCCTCTAGGAGACAGAAAAATATAACCATAAATAAAAATAATGACAACTGATAACTACTAAGTTTGTTTTCATTTGGGGTAAGAAGAATGGAATGCTCAAAAATACAAATAAATAATGAATGCTTAAATCCAAATCTTCTCTTTCTACTTCGCTAAATAAAATTATCAATCTTTTCAAATCACATTTTTTTCCTAGCTGCAACTAAAATTTTTTAGGAAGATAAATATTTTTATATTTTTAATTAATGTTTATTGGGTGTTTCGTTGATCAGCGGTGGTATTATTACAGATGCAGGACAAAATTTGCTGGTCTAAGATGATTAACCAAGCACCGGTATTTATCTTCTCTCTTCCAAGACTCCACGAAATATGAAAGTAAGGAAGGTAAATGGCACACTTCCACAACAGAGATTAAAAAGGAAAATGAGGCCGGGCATGGTGGCTCACACCTGTAATCCTAACACTTTGGGGGACCTTAGGTCAGGAGTTCGAGACCAGCCTGGCCAACGTGGTAAAACCCTGTCTCTACTAAAGATACAAAAATTTGCTGAGCATGGTAGCACAGGCCTGTAATCCCAGCTACTTGGGAGGCTGACACAGGAGAATTGCTTGAGCCCGGGAGACGGATGTTGCAGTGAGCCAAGATCATGCCACTACACACCAACCTGGCAGACAGAGCAAGATTGTGTCTCAAAAAAAAAAAGGAAAATGAGTGGCAGACACGAAGAGATGTCAACAAATTTCTAGGATGCAGACTCACAAAGCAGACCCATGGAAGCTGTAACCTAGGCTAGGCAAATGAGGCAGAAGCGCGTCGACCTGCTTGGTAGAAACCCACAACCTAGACTAGGAGAATGCGAGTGGAGTGGAAACCAGGAGGGATCTGCAAGGCTAAAAACAAAATTAATGGAAAGTCTGTATCCTTAAATCATCCACGCAAACCCGTTCACTCACCCCCAAAAGCGGGTTCAGTACAAAATCAAAGTGCTGGGCCTCATAGTCAAAAATTAAGAATTTCAAGATAATGATGGTACAGCAACAAACCAAGGGCAGCAGGGCCCTTCTGCGCAACTGCAGTTCACAGGCCCATGAAGGCTCATTCCCAGGCACAGAATGACACAGGGCAGGGTATTTATAATAGCTGGGGCAGGGGGTTAGAAGGAAGGTGGGGAGGGAATAAGGACTCTTCTCTAGTTAAACTGAACACAATTTCTGGGATTTACTAAGGTAGTTAGTATGCACATTGGTACCTTACAGCAAAGTTCTCTGCATATGGAAATTTGGGAGACCCCCAGTTTATCAACAGCCTTCTTGTCAGCTCACTCTAAAGCAAAGTCGCTAGGCAGTTTTATCCTTCATTCTTAAACATGAAATGGACAACAATGAATCACCAGATGTTTGACAATATACTTAAACATGACAAGAGCAAGGTAAAAATAATAATAATAATGAGGTCCTACACAGGAAATGCAAAAGAATTTTGATAAATTTATAACTGGTATCCACAGAAAAGTTTGAGAACATGTTTATCCATGAAATAAGATGCTATTAAAATTGCTGAATTAAATAATGCATTCAACAGAAAGGCCAAAAGAGTTGAGGAAATCTCAAAGAACACATAGCAATAAGACAGAGATGTTAAAATCAGTAAATCGAGAAACAGATTTAAGCAACTATGAGGGCCATAGAGGTCCTACCAGAAGAACAAAAACCAAAAAGTAGTTGCCTTTGGGAATAGGTCTAGGGGTGGGAAAAAGCTTTTATCATGAAATCGTCTGTGCTACTGACATTTTTTTAACCATGAACATATATTGTTAAAAAAAAAAAAAAAAAAAAAAAAAAAGGTAATACAACCTCACTATAGTACACTTAAAAAGAAAACCCAAAAAAAATTTTAAGAAAGAAAAAAATCACCCATAATCATAGTAAAATGTTCCTGCAATTTTGATGTTTTTTGAAAGAAAGTTTTTCAAGCTTTGAAAAAAAAATATTCCAGATGCCTCTGTTTAAAAAGAACTGTTTGGGAAGTTCCTCTTATCTTTGGCATGCACAGATCTCACTTGATAAAGTCACCCAATCTTAGATGATTTTCCCAAGAAATCTCTTCCTGATAAATGAAACTGGATGCTAGGTGATGATAGGAAAGTAGGCTGAACATGAAGAAGATGATGCAAAGGAGCAGGCCTGCAAACTCAGAGCTAACCAGCTGCTGCTGTGTGGCCATGCAAAGCGTGGTAAGGCCTAACCCTGACGAGAGGGAAAGCTTTTTAGTAGCACTTAGATTTCAGTATTGATCCAACCCGTCCACTTACTAGCTGGATAAGGCCTAAGGCAAGTTTTTATTTTGTTTTCTCTTCTCTGAAGTTTGTTTCCTTATCTATAAAAACAGGCTAACACCTACCCTGCAGAATTGTTGTGAGGATTAAATATAATGCATATAAAGTGTCTAGTATGCTGTAGTTACTCAACAAATATTATTATTAATATCATCTTTCCTGCCTAACTTAGAAAACTAGAAAACAACCCATCCAAAATGGTGAGGTACAAAGAACTATATTTTACTTTGAATAGAAATCTCCTCTTTGTTACTAACAAATATTAATTTCATTTTGAGAAAATAAATTCGGGGAATTTTATCAGAAGAATTTTGTATGGAAGAATACATTCTGAAAATCCAAATGCTTCTTCATTTATTTTAAAGTAACTATTAACAAACATTCAGAATATCAAAAGTTTTTATCTAATTAAAATCAGCCACCCACACTTACTAATACTACTTCAACATTTGTCTGGCATTTTTATTTATTTTTAAAATTTAATTTTATTTTATTTTATTTGAGACAGGGTCTTAGTCTGTCACCCAGGCTGGAGGGCAGTGGCACGATCTTGGCTCACTGAAACCTCCGCCTCCAGGTTCAAGCGATTCTCCTGCCTAGGCCTCCCTAGTAACTGAGATTACAGGTGCCCACCACTGCGCCTGGCTAATTTTTGTGTTTTTAGTAGAGACAGGTTTCACCATGTTGGCCAGGCTGGTCTTGAACTCCTGACCTCAGGTGATCCACCCACCTCAGCTTCCCAAGTACTGGGATTAGAGGCTTAAGCCACCCAACTGGCATTTTTTATTTTTAAAATCACTTTTTTATACATTCTTTCATCTGTTTTTTCATAATCCTATGGGGTAGAAATTGCCGTATTTATTTTATAAATGTGAAAACTAAGAACACCCAAGTAACTGTAATATGTAAGCTAGTGGCAAAACCTACACTTGAACTTAAGTCTCTTGACTCTTATCATCCAGTGTTTTTATTTCTGATCCCTCCATTTATCTTTTGTGTATGTGGCAATTTACAATATACTTTCCTAAAAAGTAAGATGTAATCCTCACAATATTGGCTTTTCTGATCAAATTAAATTTTATACAACAAGGTAGATTTTGATTTAACTTTGGACATAAAAGAGGAATGGCTAAAGTCCACTTGTATATAAATAAAATAGCACATCAAAAATCTGACACAGTGGAAGAACGTGCAGTGATGAGTGTGGTGAGGGTAGAGAAGCAGTCACTGTTCTCTAACACAACCCCACAAGCAAGTGCTCACAATTTACTACACATTAACAACGACTTCTCTGAGGATCAAGGAATGAGGTGTTAGCAGATTTTATGTGAATTCTATTCTTTTTTAAGACACAGTTTCACTCTGTTACCCAGGCTGAAGTGCAGTGGCACAGTCTCAGCTCACTGCAACCTCTACCTCCCAGGTTCAAGTGATTCTCTGCCTCAGCTTCCCAGGTAGCTGGGACTACAGGTGTGCGCCACTACACCCGGCTAATTTTTTTTTTTTTGTATTATTAGTAGAGTTGGGGTTTTCACCATGATGGCCAGGCTGGTCTCGAACTCCTGACCTCAAGTGATCCACCCACCTCAGCCTCCGAAAGTGCTGGGATTACAGGCATGAGCCACCACGCCCAGGTTGTGAGTTCTTTATTATACAGTAGAGGTAAACAGAGAGAAAGGATAAAAAAAACTAGCCATTTATACATAAAACATGAGCTTTTGATATATGATCATCAGAATCACTCTAAGCCCTTAAAAAATTTCAGTTTAATCTACAACAGGGGTTGGAAAGCACAATTCTAATGGTAACTTTTGTACTCTTATAAATAGACATAAATTGCAATTTAGAAACACAAAAACTTGAGCAGCATGACTTTTATCATGAAGAAAGTTTTCAATGTATCTAATTACTTGTTTTTGACTGATTCAAACAAGATAGTTGAAAGTGGGGACTTATAACTTAATCTTCTCTTTAGGTTAAAGTGACAGGTTTAGTTTCCACCCACCCCTTCAACATGCTACTGTCCCCTACCTCTTGTTCTCTACCAATAATCTGCCAAACACAGGTGCTGAAGCTTGACCTTCCAGGTGCTATCTTACTTAAGAACATAGTGGAAGTCCAGGTCCCGACATATATTGCAGTTCCCCCACCACCCTGCTACAGACACCTTTCAAGTTAGGTATCCCTTAGGTATGGGACACCTAACACCAACTGCCCTCTCTTCATCCTCCTTACCTTCTTCATCCTGACCTCCCACCCTCTTTCTCATTTACTTAAGTCATCTAAAATGTAGCTGAGTCGAGAGTCAATATCAAAAGGCAATGTAAGTACAGAGACCATAGCCTTCTTTACAAAGGCTCTGTAGATTTGGGCAGTCCCTGCTGCGGTGCTTGCCCTGTGCCCTCTTGTTCCTGGGCTGTCTCCTTGCTCGCCCTCTGGCTATGCCATTCCCTATTCTGAAGGACCGCATCATGTCCCCCATCGAGCAAACCGGCCTGTTGGGGAGGTGGCACGGCTGTCCCAGTACAACACACCTGGACTCAGGGTCCACCTGGGCTGGGACTTCAACATGCCTACGATTACACAATACCACCTAGAGAGAAAACGCCTGTGAAAACGGACATTCAGATAGCCCTTCCTTCAGGGTGTTAGACAAGAGTAGCCCTACATCTGGCTTGGCTGAAAAACACTTTATTGATGTAGGAGCTGGTATCATAAGATAAAGATTATAGAGGAAAGGTTGATACTGTACTATTCAATTTTGGCAACGAAAAGTTTGATGTCAAAAATGGTGATCAAATTGCACAGCTCATTTGTGAACAGGTTTTTTTCTCCAGAAATAGAAGTTCAAGCTCTGGATGACACCGAAAGGGGTTCAGGAGATTTTGGTTCCACTGGAAAGAATTAAAATGTATGCCAAGAATAGAAAATGAGAAATCATACCTTTTTCTTAAAAATCGTTTTTGCTTTAAAAAGAAAAAAGATTCTGTAAAAGAATTTGTATCTACATAATAAAATTTTTCTTCTGAGCAGTTTAAAAACGTCTGCTTTACAAACACTGGCTGTGTCTATTAGAGAAAGCTAAAGTCTAGTGCTTTGCTGACTGACACACTGGAAGTATTTCCACTCCCTTACCTGGTGTAGAAACCAAAATCTGACAACGCGTGAGAATGGCCAGGAGGAAATCATTGTGAGAATGGACTGAAAAAGGGAAGATAGTGACAAAAAAATTAAAAATATTTTCAACATAAGGAAACCACAGCTTTGGTCTAGCTTGTCAGGATTTTGGATAGCCCCTACTCTGCCATTCTTTATACTTAATTTTAAATATCCACATTATTAAGCTCACCTTACACACCACAAAACCCAAACTTTACATTTTAAAAAGGGAAATGACTTTACTACTAATCTAGGAAAACTAGAGAATAGTAAAATAACTCCACAGATAATTAGCTTACCATTATCCTGTGTGAGAAGTCTATGAGCTTCAAGGTCAAACTCCTCCTTGCTGATCTTCTGCTTGAACCACAGCTTTAGGTTAGCCCAGTATCTGTAGAGGCAGAAACAATATTAAGAACCACAGATTTTGCCGCTTCTAGTTTTCTTTGGTTTTTTTTAGAGACAGAGTTTTATTTTGTCACTCAGGCTGGATTGCAGGGGCACAATCAGAGCTCACCGTAGCCTTGAACTTCTGGTTTTAAGCTACTCTCCTACCGCAGCCTCCTGAGTAGCTGGAACTACAGCATGAAGAGATGTTGCTTCTTTCCCAAGTTCAGCATAAATGCTCCAATTCTCAGGAAAGGAAATTTTGCATTACCTAGCTTCATGGGCTGAATTGTGTCCCCCTACAAAGTCCTATGTTAAAGCCTTAATCCTACTACTCCAGAATGTGACTGTATTTGGAGATTGGGCCTTTAAATAGTACTTAAAATGAGACCATTAGGGTGGGCCCTAATCCAGTATGACTTGTGTCCTTATAAGAAGAGGCAATTAGGATACAGACACATTCGCATACAAAGAAATAACCACATGAACACAAAACAAGGCTGTCATGGTGGTGCATGCCTGTGGTCCCTGCTACCTGGAAGGCAGAAGTGGAGGGACTGATTGAGCCCAGGAGGTCAAGGCTGCGGTGAGCCATGATCACGCCACCACACTCCAGCTTGGGACACAGAACAAGACCCTGTCTCAAAACAAATAAAAGGGAATTGGCAGGCAGTCACAGAATTGAACTCATGATTCACTTAGAATCTACAGCTATACCTGTTTCTCACTGTCATGTTTCTAATAGACCTACTCTCCAGAATCCTGCATTTCAGATTTATATTTTAAAGTGTGTGTGTTTAACAGAGAGAGGAATAGTCATTTATATTTGTTTTAGGTGACATCCTTCGCTTCAGATAAACTCAACTTTCAATCTATCTGGCTGAAAAAAAGACGGGTTTCTAAACATCTCAGCACAAAGAAAATGCCTGGGGATATGAGAAACTTGGTAGTTTTTAAAGTGAAAACCAACACCTAATAATAAAAATTACTAAGTAACTAGTAGAAAAAAAAATGACTTAACCTTTTACACTTTAACAACAGTGTTAGAAATTCGAGTGAAATATATCACTTCGCATCACATCCACAACCCTTGTTTTGGTACTTAAGGAAGCTGCTTCTTGTTCATGGAATGGGATGAAAAATTACTTAGTACTTGAGTTCCTAACAGGAAAAAAAAAATCGGATTTCTAAACAAGATGGTTTATATTCTCACTGCTATATTATACCCATGGTAGGACCTCCCCTGTGTGTGGATTAGCTTCAAGTCATCTTAGTATCTCTGTACGTAATTGACTATGTACATGTGGAGTTGCATGCAAAGCTCTGGATTCATGTTTGTGGTTGCTATTTTTCAGGAGAAAACCCATAGCTTTTATGAAGTCTTAAGAGGCCCAAAACCCATGACACGGCCATCTTTCAGGCCCATTTCACTCAACAACAAAACATGTGCAGCTCTAGAGCTTGGCACCCTTTCCACCTGATGTTTGCACATTCATTAGTCAATAGGTCAACAGTAACTTTCCAACAGTGGACACTTTCATACATTTTTTTAAAGGACAGGAATAATAACGAAAGAAATAAAAAAAAGCTGCACAGAAAAAGTTGTTTTCCTATCCCATTCAATGCAACAAAAAAGGATAATCTGGAGAAAAACTCTATTATTTAAAAGTCCTATGTCAGTATTTTATAAAAAGCAAATGTATATTTGGAATGAGTAAACTTGTTCCGGAACTAAAACAAGGCTCTACCAGGAAGCTCTGTCAAAATAATGCAAACTATTTTCTCCAATGGCAAACATTTCAGCCCAAAGAGCTAGAGCGAGCTACCAAGGGTTAAAAGACTTGCTCTCCAATCCTGGTCCCTGTGTTAACTCACTGTGTAGCCACAGACAAATGACTGTTTCCCTCAACAATACTGCTATAGTTTGGAAACTTGACCAAACTTCATGATGACATTTAGTCCCCAGTGTTGGAAGTGGAGCCTAATGAGAAGTGTTTGGATTGTGGGGGCGGATTCCTCACCAATGGCTTGGTGCGATCTTTCCTGGTGGTAATGAGTGAATGCTCACTTACTCTGAGTTCCTGCAAGAGATTCCCCAAGAGCCAGTTGTTAAAAAAGAGCCCGGCACCTTCCTCCCTCTTGCTTCCTCTCGCAAAGTAATCTGCACATGCAGGTTCCCCTTCACCTTTCACCATGAGTGAAGCAGCCTGAGGCCCTCACCAGAAGATGCTGGTGCCATGCTTTTGGTATAGTCTGCATAATTGTAAGCCAAATTATCTTCTTTATAAATTACCTAGCCTCAAGTATTCCTTTCCAGCAACACACATGGACTAAAGACAAATATGAAAAAAAAAAAAAAAAAAAAAAAGTTAATCAATCCCTGTGAAGGTGAGGACAATGGGTAGAAGTGTAAGTGGGCTGGACTACGAAGCACTGGAGATACCTGAAGAATATTAATAACATATGATCGTGGTTGGGCACAATGACCCATGCCTGTAATTCTAGCACTTTGGGAGGCCGAGGCAAGTGGATCACTTGAGGTCAGGAGTTCGAGACCAGCCTGGCCAACATGGCCAAACCCTGTTTCTACAAAAAATACAAAAATTAGCCGGATATGGTGGCAAGCACCTATATCCCAGCTACTCAGGAGGCTGATGAAGGAGAATCACTTGAGCCCAGGAGGTAGAGGTTCCAGTGAGTCGAGATCACGCCACTGCACTCCAGCCTGGGCAACAGAGCGATATAAATAAATATATAAATAAATATGATCAAGTCTTCAAAAAAAAATCAGGCATCTATTTGAACATGGCACTCTACTGGCTACTATACAAAGTGAGTTGCTTAGCAAAGCCCATGTCTTCCTGGAAGCAGCTTGGGCACACAACCCAACCAGTTAGACATGAAGGGATGTTCAGACCACTGGATAAATTGCAAATAACTCATATCCAGCCTCCATGCATAACCTTGTATGTTTTGCCTACCACCAAGGACCACACTTAAATAGTCAGGTTGTGCAAACCAAAGCAAAGTGCTCATGAGGAAATGTAAGAAATGACTGTACAGTACAGCAGTGTTACTATTTAACCAAGAGGTACTTTTTAAGGAGAAGGGAAAAGAACAATGAAAGAATGGAAAAACAAATTTAGAACGATACTGTACCATTAACTGTTTCTGGCATAAAAACCTCTTTTGATTGCATTTTAGTGGGGATTCATGCTCTATCTAGATGCACCAAATTTAGTTTCAGCATCAGTATTTGACCAACACCAGATAGTCGGCTTTGGCCTTTAAAAACTGAATAACGAATGCTAACTTCAAAAACACTTCTGGCAGCCCTGGACCTGTAATTGATGAGTATGGGACCACAGAGGTCACCACTGCATCTAATCAAGGTTAAAGGCAATCATACACAAACCAGGTCCTTCAGATTTATTATGGTAGGTAAACATTCGCTTTCAAATATTTGTAAGCATTCTAGATGGAACAGAGTGAAAAGCTGAGTATGTGCTTAAAAATGTAAATTTTACCAGTCAGTATTAAAAAAGTAAAAAGCTGTAGTAATTAATCAAGGTGAAAGCTGTCAATTTTACTATTAAAATAAGTTTAAGAATATTTAATTCAATAAAGAATAGGCTGACAACGAACAGGAATATTAAAAGATAACTTTCAGTGGAACACTATAGTTGGGTGTGGTGGCTCATGCCTGTAATCCCAGGATGTTGGGAGGCCAATGTGGGAGGACTGCTTGAGGCCAGGATTTGAGACCAGCCTGGGCAACATAGCAAGGCCCTACCTCTGAAAAAAAAAAAAAAATCTTCAGCCTGGATTGGTGGAGCATGCCTATAGCCCCAGCTATGGGCTTGCGGCAGGGGAGGATCTCTTGAGCCCAGGAGATCAAGGTCGCTGTGAATAGCCTCTGCCACAGAGCAAGACCCCAATTCAAAAAAAAAAAAAAAGTGGAACATTATATCTTTGGGAGTCAATAAATGGTCATCAAAAATTAAATAATTGTGCTAAAATAACAGATTTTAATTCTAGTCTTCTTATAGTTTCAATGTTTTATTATCTTGTTAGGATGAAAAGCAGACAGTCAACTCCACCACCCCAAAATTTCACATGAAGGAAAAACTCCAAAATTCATGTATGACATCCAAGCTAAGTAACTTCAATCCAGAAATAATAAAGAAGGATGAAAAGAAAGTATTGGAGAAAAATTAAGTATTCCCAAATTGCTCCTCCACCAATGTCATTTAAAAGTATGTATCCATTAAGCAATGCAAATGTGTAGAATACCACAGAAGCCATCTAGCAGCAACGACACACACACTATAATTTTAAAGGTTTACATTTACTTTCTATATTTTTGAAAAATAAAGTTGCAATAACAACGTTTTGAAAATTTCCAAACTCTTTCTTGTATGTCAGAGGTTCTTTCTGTGCTGTCTGGCTTCGGCCTTGGCTGGATACTGATTTTACCCCAGGCCATTCTGCATCTAACCCGGCTGTGCACTCGGTCCCTACCATAACCTGGATGAAGGTCTGTCTGGGCGTTTCCGGGATCCCTTACAGCCCCTCTAATGCATCAGTCTGGAATCAGAAGCGTGGGTCCCAACCCTGACAGTGACTTTTGAAGAGTTACTTATCCTCACTATGTCTCAGTCTTCCCATCTGTCAAATAAGAATAGCAACTGTACCTATCACACATCTGTTGTAAAAATTAGATGAGATAATACATTTAGAGAGCTTAAAATGTTTAAATGTCTGCTACTGCTATCACTACAATTGTCATAGTGTTCTGTCAGTGTGATTTTACCGCAGGGTCCGTTTGCCTTACAAAACTGCTGTCAAAGCGCTTACCAATAATGCCTAGCAGATCACAAGAGATCAACAGACCTTCACCTCCAGGAAGCCTTCCAGGAAGCCCCCCAGGAGCGGCCGCCCCGCGCGATGCCCTCTCTGGCCCGGCGCGTAGGGCTCCGGCTCACTCGGCCCAGGTTGGCATCCCGCATCCCGCACGCCCGCGCTGGGGCCCGCACTTGCTCACCTGGCCCTTGGGCAAGAAGTGCGCTTCTCCCGCCCCACCCAGGACAGAGAGTCCCGAGCAACGGCGCCCGCTGGGGTCTCCCGAGCGCCCAGGAGTCCGGGTGCCTCCAGGGCGGTAAGTTCGGGTGGCCCGCCCCGCCCCGGCCGGAAAAACCCCGAAGCCCCGCCGCCGCGGACTCAAGGCTGCACAGGCCCCCGGGCGGTGTGGGCGTCTCTGGGTCGGGCTGGCAGCCCGAGGCCAGGAGAGCAGCCGAGTGTTGGCCTGGATGCTGCGCTGGGGCAGCTCTTACTGTTTCACGTTGTCCCCCAGGGCCTCGCTCAAGTTCTTCTTGGCCGCCTCCAGCTCGCTGACAAAGGTCGCCATTGCTCCGCGCGTCTCAGCCCGACCGCAGACCGCCCGGCCACCGCGATCAACAACCGAAAAACCAACTCGGCGGAAGGCCTCGGCTCTGGAAACTAAGCCCGCCGCCGTGGGCCCCGCCCCCAATCACTCAGAAGTCGTTTGTTTGGTTTTCGGCTCCGCCCGCCTTTTTGTAGGGAAGGTGCCCAGCCAAACTCTGCTCACTTCCTCCCGCCCCTCGAGTCACGTGATCCGTTTCACCTTGTAGCGCGCGCAACCTGAACCTGCGCACCACGCCTTGGCTGCGGCGTCGCAGGCCCGCTGGCGCGTCCCAGCCTTTTAATTCTATTTCCGCTGGGGCAATTCCGAATTCGGCCCGCTGTCCTTCTACCTGGAGGAGTACCTTGACCCTCCATTTCAAAAAGTACATGCAGTATTAATTGTACTCTTTCTTTGCCTTATTTTTCACCGAGCACTAATCGTCTCATATGACATTTAGTTGATTTATCTTGTTAATGTTATGGCTCGAGGACCGGAGTTCCGTTTTATTCAGGGTTACCCGCAGTTCCTAGAGCAGCACATAATGGATGCTTAATAAGTATTTGAGTAAATGAGGTAATTATGTAAAATGGGGGAAATACACAGAAGGATAAAGATAGAAAAAGTGTTTTACCACCCCAGGGCAAACACTTAACTGAGAAAGATTTCTCCTTTACCTCGCACACTCCCATAACTTAAAATACTCTATGTTCAATTTTGCACGTTTTAAACTTAAGGATTTATCTGTAGTATTACGTTGTCTTTCTAGTGATTTTAATCACAGCATGTTAAATACCCCCGCAGATAGAAGGTACACAATAACTTGTTTCCCAATTGTTAGACTGTTTCCATTTTTTTCTATTAAAAGCAATACTGTAATATCGCTTTTGAAGCATATGCCATAATGAAGTAAATCTTCTTTATGCATAAAACTTTTCCTCTTTTAGGATTATTACTTTAGGATAGAGTCCCACAAATAGAATTACTGGATCAAATGATAAGAATATTTGTAAGTGCCTTGGTGTATACTGTCAAATTGCCTTCCAAAGATTTAAAAATAATCCTAGATAGTTTTTAATTTTGTGTAATTTCTCCAAAAAGGTCCCCTTAAGTTTATTCATTCATTTGACTTCCTCACTGCTCAACCTAAACCCACCAGCCTTATCCTTACTGCAGCGCCACCTGCAAAGCTGGCCGGGGCACCTTCTCTTCACTGTATTCATACAGTGAGCTCCTATTACGTGTCTGGAACTCTTTGGGTACTGGAGGTATAAAGGTGAACACGTCAGGCAAAGTATTCCTCTCTGTGTCAAAAATCCAGGTAAATTTTGACACTTAAAAAAAAATTATCCACTTAAGTTTTCTATGGTTTCCCACTCTGCTAAATAAATTCCAGACTCCAGCATTCAGATGTTCTCATGATCTGAACTCACCCTACCTGTGTACCTCACATACTCCTGGCCTTGCCACATAACCCCCACATTTGCACTCAGCATTCTAGTTAGCTTGACTTTAACAACACATGGCTCCGTCCCTTTACACATATCTCCTCTCTGCTGGTTTTGAAACTTACGGTTGGGTACCTCCATTTTTTTCATTCAGGTTCAAACATACATATGACTCTATTCAAGGATCAATTCAACAAGATTAGGAAAGGCTATAGATGTTTGGGTACATCTTCCAGGAAGAGTCCTTGTTTCTCATCTGTCTCTAGTCACAAAGGAAGGCCTCAAAGATTTTCTTTTTGAACCCATGCAAGACAACACTCATACATCTAGCTCAATTAAATATTCCTTTCTCTGTCAGCACTTTATACACCTATTAGCTCTAATTTTACTAAAGTTATTCAGTTAAATGTCCATTTAAACTGCAGTCTTAGATAATATACAAATGGACATCTACCAAACAAGGTAATAATATAAATGAATACCAAGCCAGGGTGGCGGCACATGCCTGTAGTCCCACCTATGGGGAGGCTGGAGTGGGAGGATTGCTTGGATCCAGGAGTTCAAGTCTGTAGTGAGCTATGAGAGCACCACTGCACTCCAGCCTAGGCAACAGAGTGAGACCCTGACTTTAAAAACAATTTTTTTTGGAAAAAAAAAAATCAAAACCACTTGTAATTTGCAAGTTTAAAGAAACTAATTCTAATATTTTAATTATAGCAAATATTATACAATGCATACTGAAACTATTAAATAGCTTCAGAGAATGTGTGTCAAAATGCTTTATAAAGTGCAAGGAACTTGACATATGTTTATTCTTTTGTTGTTGTTGTTGTTTGTCTATTTTTTGGATCATCCCAGCTGGTCACAAGCTGGTTTGAGAGTAACTAGTAGAGTCAACTCAATAGGTTGCTGAGAACAGACATCTGAGGATCCAACCTTACCTAACATGCAAGTATGTCTCCAAGTATATGGATTATGTATATAAATATACGTGTATATATATGTATTCTCCACTTATACAACATAAAATTTCCTTTATTTATATTATCCATATCTTTTTTCCATTTCACTGAAGGTTGGTGGTATTACTCATATATATTGCCTGCTTCTATACAACTTTTTTCCCTCATGAATATAATTGTGTACAAACAAAGGAAAACCCTTTAAAAAGTGTATTTTCATAGCTGCCCAGGATAGTCTTGAACTCCTGGGCTCAAACGATCCTCCCACCTCGGGCTACCCAAGTGCTGGGATTACAGGTGTAAGCCACCATGCCCAGCCTCCTATTATGTTGTCTAATTTGGTTTGTTGGCACTTCGGAACGCAATGGAGGCAAAATAGCATGGTGTTAAAGTGCAAACTACAGAGCTAGTTTGCCTGAGGTTTCTTTGAATCCTGATTTCTTCTAATTTAGTTGTGTGACTCTGAGCAAGTTACTTTATCACTCCGTTGTACAAATTAAATTACTGTAACATGTAAGAGTACATGAAAGCCTTGGAATAGTGCCAGATATGTAGTAAAAGTCAATATGTCATAGCTATTATTATGCCTACCTTATGTATACTGACATTGCTAAACTCCTTTATTAATTCTAATAGTTTACCTGCAGATTTTTTTTTTTTTTAGATATTCTATGTGGACAATCATATTGTCTACAGATTAGGAAAAGCTTGCCATTTTCTTTCCAACCCTTAGGCATCTTTTTTGATTTTTTGGTTTTTTGTGTTGACTAGACCAGCTTTGTCCAACAGAACTTTCTACAATGATGGAAATGTCCTCTAGCTGGGTTGTCCAATATGGCAGCCATGTATGGCTATTAGCATTTGAGATACAGCTAGTGAGACTGAGGAACTAGGTTATTTAAATAACCACCTGTGGCAAGTGGCAAGAGTATTGAACAGCTCAAGACCAGAATTTCCATTGCAATGTGGAGCAGCGGTACTCAGGGTGAGACTCTTTGCTGAGCACCTGGCATTCCTTCTCACATTTCACCAGGAAGTATATTTGTTGTACATTTGAAAAGACACCCTTTATTCTCAGTTTGCCAAGAAACAGAATCAATAGGGAAGAAGTGTGTGTGTATGTGTGTGTCTATTGTTCATACGATTATGGAAGCTAACAAGTCCCACATCTGCCATTTGCAAGCTAGAGAACCAGGAAAGCTGGTGGTATAATTCAGTCCTAGTTCAAAGGCTTGAGGAATGGGGGCCATTGCGGGGACAAAAAGACACCTATGTAAGTCCTGCACTCCTAAGGCTGAGGAGCAGGAAGCCTCCAAACCATGGGCAGTGGGCAGAAGCAAATGGATGTCTCGGCTCAAGAGAAAGAATTGGCCTTTCCTCTTTCTTTTTGTTCTATTCAAGCCCTCAACAGATTGAATAATGCCTATTCACACTGGACAGAAAGGACATCGAGCACTTTCTGGAGTCCCCAGCAATGCACCGTCTGTCGTCCGGGCCAACTGGCCAGCTGGTTCGGTCCTGGCCATGTTGACTTATGTTGAGTCTCAAGGGCCACCACCCAGGCACCTGACTAGGTGCGTCCTCGGCTGTCTTAAGTTCAAGAACTCACCTGCTCTGGCAGCGTAGGCGGCCCCTGTCCCGCAGGAAGGACTTTCCCTGCGGTCACCCAACTCTAGGCGCGCACCGCCCCTCAGCTTGAAAACCCCGCCTCCTACAGAAAGCGAGTGTGGGAGGGTTAGTTGGCTTTGGAGGCGGGGTGAGCGGACAGCACAGTGCTGCGCTTAGCGCTAAAGCGGCTGTTGGCCAAGAAACGAAGCGAGGATGCAGAGTTGGCCCCCAGCGCGAGCGAAATGTCCCTGCAGCGGCACCGCTTTACCTTCCCTAGAGGAAGGAGGGACGGCCGGCGCGCAGCACCACCTCGGCCGGCTGACGTCTGCCCGGCTGCCACCAGGGGGTGATGCGCCCTCACCTTTCCTCCAGGATGCCGTGGATGCCAAGGAGGGCAGGGGGTCTAACGCGTCCCAGCCCGGAGCCTCTGCCCGGGAAGATACCCTTGGCCACCAGCACCAGATCCCTGGTGGCCACCTGACGCTTGGGCATTCCTTCTACGGACCCTGGGATGTCCTGGCCCTTGAACTCATAATACATCTTGGCCGTCCGAAGGTGCGATTTTCAGACCCTCCAATAATGGCAGGGATAGATTCAAAATCATTGCCATATTACAGGCAGGGCCACCCACAGTAAGAAATTGACGAATTGCCACATTGAGGGACAACCTGGGAGCTGCGGACCAAAGGGGCCCGAGAGCAGTTGAATGGGAAGGAAGGCTTACAGCGGCCACCTGTAGAGTTGACCGTCCTCCGCACGCTCCCCACCTTGGGTCCCGAAAGAGGAAAAAAGTAGAGTGCAACCTGCGGTGAGCTCTTTTTCATCAGGCTCTAGGAAGTAACAACGGCTGATGTGTACGAGCTACCTACTAGGAAGTGGGTCTGCTACATTACCTCCTTTAGCCCAAACCAGAATCCAGTGAGATTTTAATTGCTGCTATCCCCAGGGCGTATGTGAGGGAAATGAGACTCCGGAAAGTTCAGTTGGCCTAGGTTACACAGGAAGTGGCAGAGTTAACACGGGAACCCAGATCTCACTGACACCAGAGTCCATTTTTCCACAGTAGCCACAAAAATATGTTAACTCCAGTGAGCACTTAATATCTGTCAAGCATTGCACGTAATGTTTTTTGGCAGCGGTTTAAAATTCTCACCTCAACCCTCACAAGGTAGCCACTATTACTGTTATTCCC